TATCTATGTGTTGCTTTAACTGCATTAACATCAATTCTATAACTTCATTTATTGATTTATTTTCATTTGAATGACCTTCCTGCTCTATTTTGCTGGTTTTAGAAATCTCTATTTTTTTACTCACAACCATGAAAATCTTCAGGATGTCAGAGTCCGTTTCCCCTGAGACCTTCAGGATGTTTCCCAAACTTACAGAGACGTGGAAGAGATCTGCAATGTTATGTCCAGAGTTTCTATAAAGAACAAATCCTGATTTGGTAATAACATTATTAGTTTATAATAAATAAAAAAGTGTATTTCAAAGCAAAGAAAAATGATTCATATAGACACCTCTGTTATTTGGTGGTGCCAGCAGCAGCAGCTGTTTGCCGTCCTGCAGAGAGTCTGTGTTGTGTTTACTCTGCAGGATGAACGGCCCTTTGACTTCAGGACGTGACCTCTCATGTGTGAAAGTGACTTTGTTTTTATTCGCTGAATGGCGACGCTATAATCCCAGGCATTGTCACTTTTTGTTCTACATGTTGTTTTAATTTTTAGCAGACAAAAAGATGTATCAGAAAGAGAGTGTGATGTGACACACTCAAACACTTGCTGTTTTCTGATCTCTCTCTCTCTCTCTCTCTCTCTCTCTCTCTCTCTCTCTCTCTCTCTCTCTCTCTCTCTCTCTCAGGGATATTAAATTTCTGTGCTAACAACTACCTCGGACTGTCGAGTCATCCGGACGTGGTGCAGGCGGGGATCGATGCTCTGAAAGCGTACGGCGCTGGACTGAGCTCTGTCAGATTCATCTGTGGCACACAGGTTAGATCGTTTATAATAAATTAAATCTGATAATAATAATCAGAACATTAACACCCTGATGGCCACATAAGCACGTCTGTTTCTCTGCTGTCACTCTGTGGTTTTAGGATCTACACAAGAATCTGGAGCAGAAGTTAGCTCAGTTTCATGAGAGAGAGGACTGCATCCTCTATGCGAGCTGTTTTGATGCCAACGCCGGACTGTTCGAGGTACGTCAAAGCAAACTGAACCAAAAGAAAATGTTGCATCTTCGACCCTGAATCACACCGAGTCCACCGAACTCTGTATGTGACAGCGACCTACAACTTATATTTTTGTTGCCATGGTATACAAACGGCTATCGATGCGGTTTGATTTTCACTAGAATGGTATCAAAGTTTAAAAATCTGGTGACCATAAATTGAGTCTTACATTCCTCTTGAATCAGGTGTTACTGGGCCCGGACGACGCCGTTTTGTCTGACGAGCTGAACCACGCCTCCATCATCGATGGGATCCGTCTGTGCCGAGCGAAGAGGCTGCGCTACAAACACATGGACCTCGGAGACCTGGAGAAGAAACTCAAAGAGTCTCAGGTGTGTGTGAGAGAGAGGGCCACTTTCAAATGTCTTCTTTTTTTTTTTTTTGCAGCCTCGACAGTTTGGCATTAAATTAAGTCGTGAAGAGTTTGTCTCCTCACTTAAAACAGTCAGAAGAACGTTGTGGTTTCAAAGCGCTCTGCTTGATGAGCCGGGGAAGTAAAGCTGATCAAAATCTCCTAGCTGCAGTTTCAGCCTTAGAGAGAGGAAGAGGAGCTCAGAGTAGACCTGCTTCACATCCAAAGGAGCAAGTCAAGGATGATCGAGCATCTGATTAGGATCCTCCTGGACGCCTCCCTTTGGAGAGACCCCAGAGTAGATCCAGAGTTTGGAGGGATCATATATCCCGTCTGACCTGGGAACGCCTCAGAATCCACCAGGAGGATCTGGAAAATGTTGCTGGGGTGAGGTTAGTCCGAGTTCACCTGCTCCCACTGCGACCCGACCTCAGATAAGGTGAAGAAAATGGATGGATGGATTCAGTTTCAGTCGGCAAAACATCTATTGTGATCGCCCAAAAAATGAGAGTACCGTTTTTTTCCCTGTGATGAATCTGCCGTTCTTGTCATTGTGAACGCTTATTGATCAGACGTTTTAACCATCATGATGAATGCTCTCCACTTCATCTGAGGCGCGCCGTGTTTAATGAAGAGAATCAGAAGAGGTCATCTCGTGCATCAAAAAGTCATTTCCCCCCGAGGTGACGGGGTCAGAATTGATTGGACGATCATGTGACTCTTGTTTTTTTTTTTGTCTCCTCAGTCGTCTCGTATGCGCCTCGTCGTGACTGATGGCGTCTTCTCGATGGACGGAGACGTGGCTCCTCTAACGGGAATCTGTGACCTGGCTGAACAGTACGGAGCCATGGTGTTTATAGACGAGTGCCACGCCACCGGCTTCCTGGGACCCCGGGGCAGGTGGGTGGGACTGTTATGAAGCTGAAGACACAAAAATAGCACTTTATTAATATGATTTTCCTTTTTATTGTTGTTGACCACTAGATGTCGCCAAAGTACAACCACTTTTTCAACAACCTTAAGGTCTCTCTGTTACCATGACGATGAGATAGACTGATGAAGCTGCTTCCTGTTTCTTATTTCAGAGGGACAGACGAGCTCCTGGGAGTGATGGACCGAGTTCACATCGTTAACTCCACCCTGGGAAAAGCTCTGGGAGGAGCCGCTGGTACGTCTCCATCTCATCTGACTCTCACACAGAAGCTCCTGAAAGTGTCCGTACATTTCAAGAAGAGGGGTTGCAGCTTCATACTTTAGATTCAGACTTGTGAGAGTGATACTTTGAATGAAGTGTTTTGTTTTGTTTTAATGAATGCTTTGTGAAAGAGGGGCAGATATTAAAAGATTAGTCTTCTTTCTGCTCCTTTTCATTCAAAATTTGAGATTTTATGTTTGTTTGTTTTCTTAACTTTATTGTTTGTTTGAATGAAATAAAACAAATAAATGCTGATCAAGTCTAACACAGGCTCGTATGATATTAAAACATGAGACGTTTCTGATTCAGCTCAAATCTGTTTTCTTAAAGTTACACTTTTGTCTTGTAGGCGGTTACACAGTCGGCCCGAAGCCGCTCATCGACCTGCTGAGGCAGCGCTCGAGACCGTACCTGTTCTCTAACTCCCTCCCCCCTCCCGTGGTGGGCTGTGCCACCCAAGCCGTGGACCTGCTGCTCGCCTCCAACGCCATCGCACAGAGCATGACGGCCAAAACCATGAGGTCAGCGACTCTTTTTGTTCATTTGTAAAAACTATACATAATCATGACATCACGTCAGCAGGGTCCATCGTTTTTATTCTCACATCGTCCGCTGCTTTATTTTCCTCTCACAGAAGAAACCGCCTGATGTGATTGGCCTGTTTTCCTTCTGTATGTTTGAAGGTGTTTTTTTAATTTCCTGTTTGTCTCTCAGGTTCAGAAACAAGATGACGCAGGCCGGTTTCACCATCTCAGGCTCAGCTCACCCGATCTGTCCCGTGATGCTCGGTGACGCCCGGCTCGCCTCTCTGATGGCCGATGACATGTTGAAGCTCGGTGAGATCTTTTCAGCTCCTCTGCCGAGACGGAGCGGAGTCAGACTGTGAATGTTTGATGTGTGTGAATCATCTCGACCACAGCAGGAAATATATAACCTATAACGCCTCTTCTCCCTCCTCAGGCGTGTACGTGATCGGATTCTCCTTCCCAGTCGTCCCAAAGGGCAAAGCCAGAATCCGCGTTCAGATTTCCGCCGCCCACACAGACGAAGACATCGACCACTGCGTCGACGCTTTCATCCAGACGGGCAGAAAACACGGAGTCGTCTCCTGAGAGAGAGAGAGGACGATGAGTTCTTCTGCTTTCAGTATGAAATACTGAACCCTGGTGAACGCTCGCTCGTGCACGCCTGTTGCCTGAAACTCGACGCCGTGAACGCTTCTGATGGAAACATCAGCTAAACTTTGTAGGTCAAATTATGTCATGTTAATTTAGTGTGCTGCTTAGCTGAATAAAACACGTTTGTTAACAAGTGTTGATGTTTGTATTTGAAGAAAAAAGGGACGTTTATATTTGAGATGAAGGATAACATTTCAGATTTTCTGCTCATTTATTTGTTCAGCAGATTTCAGCGTCATGCTTTGGGGGAAATTCTGATTAAAGTTAAGGCAAGCATCTTCCTGTATCGTCCTCTATCCCATTTTTCAAACCCTGCACAGTTTTGGTCGACTGCTGTTCATGAGTCGGGTTTTGCCCCGAGGTTTCTGCCTCTTAAAGGAAGTTTTTTCTTGATACTGCAACTTTGCTAAATGTTTCCATCCTTTCCGTCTTTTGCCTCCTCTGCTTAAGTCCGTGGTCACCCCAGTTAAAAAGGTCTGGACGGTCTGGACATACTCTTGCTCCTATGTGACTCAGATCTGATGTTTTTTATGACAGTGTGAACAGCACACGTCACATGGAATCTGAAATTTCAAATCAGATTTGGGCCGCTTTCAAATGTGGATTCCCACAGGAGTCTGATCCAGGCCTTATTTAAAATGTTTTGTTCACAGTCTGACCCGAGTCACAGGAGCAAAAAAAAACCGGATTCAGGTCGCTTTTGGATACAGTGTGAACCACCTTAGATACTCTTAAAGTTTTGTTTCATGGGGACTAAATTAACTTGTTTTTCACATCAGCAACAACTTCCTGCTCTTAATTAAAGAAATAAAATGGAGTATAATGTTATTAATATTCTTGTACATAAGTAAAGATAAATGATGAGGTGGCATTTTACATTTAACATGTTTTAATATTATATTAATTAACAATACCCACAGTAAATACAGTTCACGCTCTTTTTCATTGAAAGCTGCATCTAAAAACAGCCTTAACACTTTAAATATAGTAAAAATGAGTATTTGAAGTGAGTTTTAAAGTTAAAAACTGTTGTTGTGATCGTAGTTCTTTGTTGTTCATGCTTTCCCCTCCTACTCTTCTCCTTTTCGCGCCATCTCTGCTAATAAACGCCCCTTTTTTCAGACCTGCCTCTGAAAACCTGCTTTGGCCAATTGGAACAAGCGACAGAAGCTGTTAGCCAATCAGAGGCCAGAAGAGGGGCGGGGCTAGAATCGACTCGCGCGAAAAAGACAGGAAGGAGTTTAGTTTTTCCCGCGAAACAGAGCCTGAGCAGCCTTCGTCCCGCAGGTCACATCCACCGTGTTTTTGACTTTAAACTCGTGGAACAATCAGCGGCTCCGGTTTTATTTTCTCGTTAACGTTGTTTGTCGGGTCTCCTGCTTCAACATGTCCGGATTTGACGACCCCGGAGTTTATTACAGCGACAGTTTCGGAGGAGGAGGAGGAGACGGACCCGGCGGGGACGAAGGCGGACAGAAGAGGACTCACATCAAGAAACGGTTCCGTGAGTTTCTCCGCCAGTTCAGGGTGGGCACCGACCGCACCGGATTCACCTACAAATACAGGTACGTGTTTAATCACGATGACATGACATGAAGTTACATATGCATTTAAAAACACCAGAAGAAGAAACGAAATTGGTGTAAAACCGGAAACTAAGCAGCTCACATTAAAAAGTGAATAAAACAACAACAAAGAAGTTTTCGTGTAACATTATTTATATGATGTAAAACAGTGAAGCTCATGTTTAAAGTCTGAATGTGGCGTTTGAAGGCAGTGGACAAAAAGCAAGCACGCGTGTCCGTTGCAAGAAGCTATCAAGTTGCATTCTGGGAAATGTAGTATCCAGCCTTTAGGTAACTTGACATATTTGATATTTAAAAAGTCTGATCATATTTGGTGCTTTTGCTCTTATTTTAATCATATTTTCCTGGAAAATGGAACAAATAGTCAGCATAAGTACTTATTCAAAGACAATTAAAGATTATTTAAATAGATTTGTGGCACATGTTTGGTGGCTACACACACATTGGCTGAAATACACACACATGCTCAAATAGGATCCTGTGGACAGGCACTGATGGAGCGATGACAGAGTGAGGGGGCTGCACACAGTGAGCTCTCCTGGGCTTTTTTGGGGGGGGGGGTTCTGTACCTTTGCCCAAAGGCCCATCTGCAGGGCTCAGCTACCAGACCAATTACCAGACCTGGTCCACACCACGTCTTGAACCAGCGACTCTACAGACTGAGCTAGCCACCCTAGTAACAGACAGATTTTCTACCTACTATTCTTTGTTCTTTTTGGGGTTTAAGATCGTGTGTTCATCAACAAAACAACATGAATGAGTTTTTGTGTTTTCCTTCCCAACCAGAGATGAGCTGAAGAGACACTACACCCTCGGGGAGTTCTGGGTGGAGGTGGAGATGGAGGACTTGGCCAGCTTTGACGAGGATCTCTCCGACTGTCTGTACAAGCTGCCGACTGAGAACCTGCCGCTGGTCCGTCTGACGCGCTCTTATTAAACCTGATTCACTTTTACTGTCACCCAAATCTCAGACCAGGAGTTCGCCATGTTTACCCTCTCTAACTATTCTCTTTTCCAGCTGGAGGAAGCTGCAAAGGAGGTGGCGGATGAAGTGACCCGCCCCCGTCCTGCGGGCGAGGAGACGGTTCAGGACATCCAGGTCATGTTGAAGAGCGACGCACATCACGCCTCCATCCGCGGCCTCAAGGTACCTGAACGCCTCTTCATGTCTGATGTAAAGCAGTAATCTCGTTTTTTTTTTTTTTTAAATCAGTGATTTGACCCCCCCCCCACAGTCGGAGCAGGTGTCTCGCCTGGTGAAGGTGCACGGCATCATCATCTCGGCCACCGCCGTGAGGGCGAAGGCCACCAGGGTGTGTCTGCAGTGTCGGGGCTGTCGCGGCGTCCTCAGTAACATCCCCCTGCCTCCCGGCCTGCAGGGCTACGCTCTGCCGCGCAAGTGCAACAAGTGAGTTTGACGTCCCAGATGACTTTGATGGTCAGCTGCTACGACACAGAACACACGAGAAAACAAACAAACCTTAGTCTGCTGGTCGGGCTAAGCTTCTGATAACATGTAGTCTGACCTCTGCATTAGCCTCTGTGCCTTTGTTGACTCTGCCTCAACACCCCTAGTGGTCATGTGCGAACTGCATCCTGCGTCAACATTAGGCTAATATTTGACGGACGCAGGGGACAAGTGGCGGCCATGATGTGTGTGCGTAATTAACAGAAAAGAATATTCAAACCACCTGAAAGTGTATCAACACTTTGGATTCATCAGGCTGGTTAGTGTTTTTGTTTGACATCGTTCTTCTTCGTCTCTCAGGGAAGACGCCGGGAGGGTGAAGTGTCCCGTGGATCCTTACTTCATCATCCCCGACCGCTGCGTGTGCGTCGACTTCCAGACCCTCCGCCTGCAGGAGTCTCCCGACGCCGTCCCTCACGGAGAGATGCCCCGACACCTGCAGATCTACTGCGACAGGTGAGGAGGCTGTTACCATGGAGACGCATTTTAAAAAAACACGACGTGAAAGATTTTTCCCTCACACTTCTCGTCCTCTCTCAGGTATCTGTGCGACCGCGTCGTCCCGGGAAACAGAGTGACCATCGTGGGAATCTTCTCCATTAAAAAGATGGCGATTAAGACCGGCGGCAAAGACAAAAGTTCCGGCGTGGGCATCCGGACGTCCTACCTGCGTGTGGTCGGCATCCAGGTGGACACAGAAGGAGCAGGTGAAGAAGAAGACTTTGTGATTAGAGGATATTAAAGGACCCAGTTTGGGGCGCTGGTGGCGCGGTGGTTAGTGCATGCGCCCCATGTATTGAGGCTGTGGTCCTCCAAGCGGGCGGCCCGGGTTCGAATCCAGCCTGTGGCTCCTTTCCCGCATGTCGTTCCCTACTCTCCCTCTCTCTCCCTGATTTCCATCTCTATCCACTGTCCCATCTCTACATTAAAGGCACAAAAATAAATCTTAAAATTAAAGGACCCGGTTTGTTTTTTTGTTTTTTTCTTCTTCTAGGTCGCGGCGCCACAGGATCCGTCTCTCCGCAGGAAGAGGAGGAGCTCCGAGGGCTCGCTGCCTCTCCAAACATCTACGACTCTTTGGCTCGCTCCGTCGCTCCCTCCATCTACGGCAGCGACGATCTGAAAAAAGCCATCACCTGCCTGCTGTTTGGAGGATCCAGGAAGAGGTGACCTTCAGATAAAGAACTACATTTCCCAGCAGTCATCCCAATAATCAGTCTGTGATCTGCTCCACCTGTAGTGTCACTGCTGGCTGGCTTACTGAGTAAAGTTTTTTGATTTTGTGTTTCTCGTCCCTCCAGGCTCCCTGACGGTCTGACCCGTCGAGGTGACATCAACCTGCTGATGCTCGGCGACCCGGGTACCGCCAAGTCTCAGCTGCTGAAGTTTGTGGAGCGTTGTTCACCTATCGGGGTAAAAACCAAATCCTGCTGCGGTCCAAGAGACGATGATGTGTTAAAGTGAAAGTTCTCCTTTTCTAAATGTGGATTCATTTCATTCAGGTGTACACGTCCGGTAAAGGCAGCAGCGCGGCCGGTCTGACCGCCTCCGTCATGAGGGACCCTCAAACCCGCGGCTTCATCATGGAGGGCGGAGCCATGGTGCTGGCCGACGGCGGAGTCGTGTGCATCGATGAGTTCGACAAGGTTAGAAATGAACTCTTCTTCAGGGCGCTGGTGGCTCAGTGGTTAGTGCGCGGCTGCACTGTGTGGAGGCTGTGGTCCTCCAAGCGGGCGGCCCCGGTTCAAATCCAACCTGTGGCTCCTTTCCACTGTCTCTCTCTCTCTCTCTCTCTCGCTCTGATTTCTGACTCTATCCTCTGTCCTGTCTCTCCATCAAAATGCCCCTCCCCCTTCTTTTTTTAAAAAAAGAAGGGGGAGGGGCCTCAGGTTTGAACTCTGGTTAAACACGTTTTCTTCTTCAGATGAGAGAGGACGACCGCGTGGCAATCCATGAAGCCATGGAGCAGCAGACCATCTCCATCGCTAAGGTAAGCTAACGCTGACTCGCTCAGACTTTACTGAGTGGTTAACCATCACGCTGACTCCTCCCCCTGCTCCTCCTCCTCAGGCGGGCATCACCACCACCCTGAACTCGCGCTGCTCCGTGCTCGCCGCCGCCAACTCCGTGTTCGGCCGCTGGGACGACACGAAGGGGGAGGACAACATCGACTTCATGCCGACCATCCTGTCCCGCTTCGACATGATCTTCATCATCAAAGACCAGCACGACCAGCAGAGGGACATGGTGAGGCGGGCGCACGGGCACGCCGCCGCAGACGTTCTCTGATTTTAAAATGTGTTTTTAAATGCTCGTCCGTTTTGCAGACGCTGGCTCGCCACGTGATGAACGTCCACCTGAGCGCTCAGACTCAGACTGAAGGCGTGGAGGGCGAGATCCCGCTCGCCACCTTCAAGAAGTACATCGCCTACGCCCGAGTGTGAGTGTCTTAACCTCGCTCTTCTGATGACACTCTCTCATGCTTCTCGTTTATTCTAAAGTCACCCATGTGGTTGTTGTTTTTTTTGCTCGCAGTAAATCCGGCCCACGTCTTTCTGCCGGGGCGGCGGAGAAACTGAAGAACAGATACGTGGTGATGAGGAGCGGAGCGAGGGAGCACGAGAGAGAGACGGACAAAAGGCCGTCCATCCCCATCACAGTCAGGTACTGAAACACGTTAACGTCTGGACGCTCTGACCTCCAAACTGTTCTTGATGTGTTACATTAACGCCCACTGGACTTTGAAGATGGATCTTCCTTACACACACTGAAGAGTAACTAAACCCTAAAACCTCTTTGTTCAGCTCTAAACCTCTCGATCTGAGTATTCAGTGTTCTGGATCAATCAAAGTCCCAATCTCCACATTTGAGTACAAAGTATTGGAATTCTAAATATTGTGTTAGAAATGTGCAGAGTGTCTGCTCTTCAGTTTGAAACACTCTGACGGCTGTGTGGAGGACAGTATGACGTAGGAGTGCAGCCCCACGTCACCAAACCTATAAAAGCCTCGTCACCTGACTTTTTTTTTATTTGTGTGTGGGGGGCAAACATTGTATCATGTGTTGGGGGGCTTTTTGTGCCTTTTAATGGAGAGATAGGACAGTGGAGAGAGAGTAGGGAATGACATGCAGGAAAGTAACCACAGTTGGGATTCGAACCCGGGCCGCCCGCTTGGAGGAGCACAGCCTCCGTACATGGGGCGCACGCACCAACCAATATTTGTTGTTCTTCTACATGACGATCATTATCTCTCTAAATATTTCTCTCTTTGTTTCCGTCGTCCTCAGGCAGCTGGAGGCCGTCATCCGCATCGCAGAGTCTTTGGCGAAGATGAAGCTGCAGGCGGTCGCCGGCGAGGAGGAAGTGGACGAGGCGCTGCGACTCTTCCAGGTGTCCACGCTGGACGCCGCTCTGTCCGGCAGCCTCTCAGGTCGGTTTCTTTTCTGATTCTACTTTTATAAAGTTCTGTTAAAGCGTTCCGTCTCAGCGCTCTGACGTCACCTTCTGAACGTCTCTGCTCCTCGTGTCGTCTCAGGCGCCGAGGGCTTCACGTCTACGGAGGATCAGGAAATGATCTCGCGCGTCGAGAAGCAGCTGAAGAGACGCTTCGCCATCGGCTCGCAGGTGTCCGAACACAGCATCGTCCAAGATTTTACCAAACAGGTCAGTACAGTGTGTCTGTGGAGCGCCCGCTGTGCCGTGCCTTCACAACGCCAAAACACAATGTGACCTCACAGACGGGGACGTGAATACCACATTTCTTATTTACATCGTTGATTTGAGCGAGTCGGCGAGAAGAGGCGGGGTTATTAACGCCCTCAGAGACGACCTCTTGAGTTGAATTTACCGAGACAAAAACAACTTCCTGTTAATCTCTCTACTTCCTGTTCTCGTCTCTCACAGAAATATCCAGAGCACGCCATCTACAAAGTGCTGCACCTGATGCTGCGGCGAGGCGAGCTGCAGCACCGCATGCAGAGGAAAGTCCTGTACCGGGTCAAGTAGAGGCGTGTCAGAGCGGCGGTGATGGTCACGTCGTTCCTGTAAATAGTTTTGATCTGCAGAGTCACTGTTTCTGCTGGCGGACATGTTGGAATCACTCCCGCTCACTTTGGATGTTTTTCAGTTTCACATGAAACACGAGAGAGAAAAGTGATGTCATCATAAAAAGATGAACAAAGAAGTATAAAGGTGAAAAGATGTAAAGAAAACACGACTCTGAATAAAGATGTAAAGTATTTCAAATGAAGAAAACGCTCCGAGTTCTTTGAAATGTTTATTTATGACGAGCTCAGAGAATCATTGAGCGATACTTTGAGATGGCGTGTTAGCGGGGGCGGCTGAAGCTCGCTCTGTAGGGTCCCCGGATCAAGTCCCCCCAAAAAATGTGCAAGTTGTTTGGTTAGCTGGAGAGGAGCCAGGTCACTTCCTGTGCACAATAAAAGCCCCGTCTCCACCAAGCGGTCTGGTTCAGTTCAGTACGGCGTTGGTCTTTTTTGGTACCCTTCAGGGGGCGGAGCTAGACTCACTGCAGCCTGTTGTTTCCTATGCAACAGCGGTTATAAAAGGAAAACGCACAATGTTTAAATATCCTGTGGATTTCTCACAACGCTCCGTTTTGGTGTGTGTGTCTCTTTAAATGTAATGACCCCCCCCCCCCTGAGTTTTCCCCGTAGATATCACTCCTCTGTAGAGAGAATAAAAATGGCCGACCTGCATTAAAGTTTTGTTCTAGTCTGGGGGTGGAGTCTATGGGTGGAGATATCAGGGGAGCGGAGGGGATTTCTTTTTACCAGAATCCCACTGTGACATCACAAGGAGAGCACATTAGAAACAGAGCATTTTTCTGTGTTGTAAGACTTAAGCAGACCACAAACAAAGGACTGGATGGTTTATTTGATGTGGGTCAGTAGACTCTCAGGTTACACATGTTCAGAAACACTGTGGGAGTGGATGTTTTTAGAATATGTTCCCTTTAAATGACTTTTAAATTGCACAAATACATCGGCAACGTTTCTGTACTGAAAGAAGTTTATTTCTAAATCACATTTCAGCAACAAGGCGATTCAAAGAGTTTCACAGAAAACATCAAAAGCACGACGGAGAGAGAAGAGGTGAAAACAAATAATCACAAAGTTAAAATAAACGTAAAGCGGACTGATTTCAAATCACAGTTTATAAATCAGGTTTTTAAAGTGCTGTGTGCTCATGTTGAAACTGGAGTCTAAAAGGAGTACAGTCCCACTCCGATTGTTGTCAAGGCAACGCACACTCCCACGGTGAACTGTATGACGGGTGAAGACAGGAACAGAGAAGTTTTGACACCGCCGCTCTCTGATTGGTCGGACGTCTCCGCGGCGACACTCAGCATTTTCTGCAGGTCGTCAAAAACCTGAAGAGGAGAAAAAAAAAAAAAACAGTCAGCAAGCTGGCAGCGTCCTGTCGCAACGTGGACGAGATTCACTTCCTTCTTTTTTTTTAATTTCCAGGGAGGGGAAGTCGTGTTTTGATGCGGTTATTAATATTCACATTTTCTCAGTCCTCGTGTGTTCCCGTTTTTAAGTCGAGTTAAAAAAAAGTGAATTTGCTGAATCAGCGTCATGAAAACACTTCAAGGTTTTGAAAAAAGAGAAAGGAGAGTTAAAATCCAGAGGACGTTTGGTACCCGTTAGAGGCAGGGCTGGTCATTTTCTAAAACTAGCATGATTTTAAAAGTAGCATTCCCTCAGTGCTGCGTCTGCACCTGCCCCCCTCCCCTCTGTGCTCCCTCTAAAGCCACGCCCCTCCCCTCTGTGCTCCCTCTAAAGCCACGCCCCCTCCCCCTCTGTGCTCCCTCTAAAGCCACGCCCCCTCCCCCTCTGTGCTCCCTCTAAAGCCACGCCCCTCCCCTCTGTGCTCCCTCTAAAGCCACGCCCCCTCCCCCTCTGTGCTCCCTCTAAAGCCACGCCCCTCCCCTCTGTGCTCCCTCTAAAGCCACGCCCCCTCACCCATGAAAGGAAAATTACGACGGAGGATAAGGGCCATGTTAAAAAAATATTTATTTTTGTATTTCGAGATCAAAGTCGTAAATTTTCTTTAATCTTGAAGTTAAAAAAGTAATAATTTTAACGTGGTCCTAATCCTCCGTTGTAGAAAATGGCCGCCATAGAACGTTTCATATTTCTAACCAACACTACGGCGTGCGTCTGTCCTCTCACCTGGATGTTGAGCTCGAAGGCGGCGACCGCCTCCTCCAGCACCGCCGCCGTCTCGTCCTCCGTCAGCTCGACGCTGTTCATCCGGCTCCTGTAAAGCTGCTTGAAGCGGTTCGGGCTGCTCACGCCGGGGAAGGAGAAGAAGGACAGCCCCTCTCTGCCGCTCAGCCCCAGAGACTTCTGGGTAATTTTCCCCAGCACCTGACCTCCTGAGAGATCCCCGAGGTAGCGGGTGTAAGCGTGCGCCACCAACAGCTCCGGTTTCTCTCTGCCGATCTGAAAAACAAAGAAGACGCTTTTAGAATTGATACTCATTAAAATCCAAAAGATAGAAGTCGTCCAATAAGACGCTCAGTGTGTCGGCGTTTCCACCGTGGCCGTGTGCGAAACGCAGCTCATTCATTGGCTGGTACTTTTAGTAAGAATCTGTAAACCGCTCACCTGGCGCAGCCTCTGTTCGTATCGGTGCGTGGCGGCGGGAACGATCACCCTCTTCCTCCACGCCGCGCCAAAGAAAAACTCCAGATCGCTCTCGAGTGACTCCAGGCGAGCGAGCTCCTGAGGGAAGTAAATCGGTGCGACGGCGGGATGGGAGGAGTTTCTGTCCAGCTCCTCCTCCAGCGCCTTGTAGATCTCGTAGAGCGAGCACAGCAGCACCTGAAGGAACATAAAGATTATAATCCACAGATATGATGAGAGAGCGAGACCGTGTGAACGCCGCGTCGTTACCTTGTACTGTGGCAGCGTGATCTGTCCCTTCTGGTAACTCAGCATCAGCTGTGTGTTTTCAGCTCGGACGTGGTTATCTTTGGTGGCGGCTTTAATCCGCTCCGATAGGTCGCTGTCGGGAACAAAGACGAGACACAGTTAGCGACGTGTTCGAGGAATTCAGACGGTTTCATGAAGTACTCGAAATAACATCAGTGCATCTTAATGAGCCGTAACCATGGTAACGATAATATTTGACAACCTGTGAACGCTGTGACGATCTGTTACGTTTAAATACTTTAAATTAGTGTCAGACCAAGACCGGTCTCCAGACCACTTTTTGAATTTTGACTCGGTCTTGTCTCGGTCTCAGACTCAGACTGGGCAGACTCTGGATTTTAAATCAAGACTGGTAAAGACCACCATTGATGGGCTTCTTTCTCAGCTCATTACTGTGATAAGAAGGAAAGCGGAAAACCCCTCTTATTTAAAACAAGAAGATTTATCTGATTTTTATCCCACGGTGACGGCCACAACCTTCCCTTGGTTACGGTCTAAGTCAGGGACACGACCCCTGCCCCGGTCTTGGTCTCAGTTAGTGTGGTCTTTACGACACTAACATTAATCCTTCACTAAGACTTTACTTCATCTGATCACTTTTTACAAGTTTCTCAAAAAAAAATTTGAGCATTTCTCAGTATGTGAAGATTTACGACTGTAAACTTGGGTATACGTTTTTGTGAGAGTATATTTACTTTTACTATTTTACTTTCTTTCACTGACTTATCAGTTTGCCTGATTAGGTGCAGGTATATGTTTTTAAGTTTATCTATGTAGAATGTTTAGACAACTGTGTCTTAAACCTGTTTTATTGTCTCTCTTTACTTTCTGAAAAACGTTTGTAACTTTGACTAGCTGCAAAACATGTTTCAATTTTGCTCTGAGTAAAAGTTTAAATTAAAAAAATAAATAATTAAATCAAAATCTGATTTTGGTATCAAATAGAATAAACATTTTCACATTAAATTCTGTTTGTTGTCGTACCTTCCGACTTCTCCCTGGTCGTCTTTCCTGGCGCTCTTTGTGACCTCCATCTCCTCGGACTGTAATAAACGTCTTCTCCTCTTTGTTGCTGGTCGGTCGGTCGGTCGGTTGTCGTCTCCTCTCAGTTGAGCGTCCGTCCTCTGCGGCCTCACAGCTCCACCTGGCCCTCTTTTATACTCACATGATGACCTGAAACCGAGGCGGTTTGAGACCGAGAGGAAGTGAGACTGCTGAGTCACATTGCTCAGTTTACAGGAGGTTAAACATGATGAGGCAGATTTTTTTTACTGTGTTGTGAAAATCTGAAAACATGATGAGGCAGAAATCAAAATCACACTGAAAGAAAGTTTTGTACTCAGAGCAGTATGTAACTCTGACCCCTAGTGGTTAAAATGGGTACTGCAGTCTGAATTCTAAACATCATAGAGAGCTGCCCCCCCCCCCTCCTCTCTAGAGTGGATGCTCACTCAGGTCACCATGTGGTGGACTCTGAAGCTTCAGTGTTTATCCAGCTCTGCATGGGTCTGTAAACCTTTCTGTGTTCTAACCTCTCTCCATTTTTCAAAAGCATCTCCAATATTGATCCTAGTTTGAGCACGTTTCTGCTCGTGGAGCTTATTAGAAACATGCAGAGGCTTTTTAGGTCGGGTACAATCACTTCTATCTGAACCACTTCTCTTGACCGCTTCCATCACTGCAACACCTGTTGACCTGATAACTGCTCTCATATCTGACAAACCGAGGGGTGTCCAAAACCAGCCATTTCATCTACTTATTTGTTATTTTGCATTTGTTTTTGTTCTTTGGTTGTAAACACCAGAGCTGATTGGAGCCAATAAAAGGTTGCAGGTGTGTCACTGTGAGTTGGGTTCACCAGGAAGGGACAAAGGTCAATTAGACGAGTCAGGAAACGTTTGTTTGTTTTTGCTCTAAATGATCTAAATGAAATGAAGAAGCTGTGATTCCCGACTGGACATTGAACTTATCACCTGTGTACGATCAAAGTGGAACGGTGCATCAGCGGCGGCTTGTTGAGTTTATGCGGTTTGTTTGTAATTTTAACCTTAATTTTTTTGCAAACAGCCAAGATAGTATTTATGCTATTAGTTTGTACAATGTGCAGGAGAAGGTCAGCGAAGCGATGAGATATTAAATTAAATACGGTATATTTAAAAGTTATTATCACACATAATGTTGTAAGTTGATTCGTATGTTTAGTTCATTTTGCTCCTACTTCCCTTCAAGTATTGGTGACCCCTCCTCGAACCCCCTGCTGACCCCTCGAGGGGTCGAGACCCACACTTTGAAAAACACTGATCTGACTTAAAAGCATAAACAAAGCTAGAAACTTAAGAGTAAAAAGTGAGATCCTGTGGTGTCACTTTAAGAGAGGATAAATGTCCTTTAGTATTCTTCTCTGTCCTCTTTTGTATTTCATAACCCCCCCCCCCCCCCTTCCTCTTACACAAGCAGCCCTCCATTAGTTCAGCACCCTGAGGGGGGGGGGGGAGTGGGCTGTGCTTGGTGGGCTGCTGGTGGAAACACACACACACACACACAGCACGCTTTAAAATGCTAAATAGTAAACATGTAGCTACCTGGACAGCTGTGCTACATGCTAACTTCCAGATGTTGAGGGATCGACAGAAGTAAAAAGGTAAGGTTAGCCTGCGTTAGCAAACATCTGGTTCAGCGGGCGATGGCGTCCTCCGCACCCGGAGCAGAGTGCGACGGCGCCGGCTGGAGAGTTCACGCAGAGCCGGGGGGGCTCGATGCAGTTTCTGAGAACATTTTCACCAAATGTTGTGTCGCTGAAGTATCACATGAGCTTCCTGTTTCGGTCGACGTCTTCATGTTTGTGTAACTAAAGAGTGTAGAGCTTTAAAATGCGATTAAACACCGACCAATCACCGCCCTGCTGCATGACGTGAAGAGATCTGCGATACTTTTCGGTATCACGTAATCTTTGTTATTAAGATCGGCAGAATCGGAAAAGTACCGAATCTTTTAATGAGATCTGTTTCATCAGGCAGACGAGTTGGAGAGAAATGAATCCATCCAGTCATCACCTGCTCGCTCTTTAAACTGCAGAGATACGTTGGCAACGTTTCAGTTGACAACATATCTCTGCAATTCGGACAACGTGCGGGAATCTGTCTGCAATTTCTGGTAATGAAAAACAAGAAATGACGCAAAATCGGGTTTCTACGACTTAAAGTCTGAATATGTGATTCTTCACACTTAAATATAAATCAAGTCTATCCTCTGAAAATAACTCTGTGAGTCATGACTGTCTACAATGGGTGTAACACCCGAGTCCCACTGTCTGTCATGTTTTCAGAGTTTTCAGAGTCCTATCTTCACTTTGTTTACATCGCCTGGACGGCCGGCTGACTCCTCCCCTCGTGTATAAAAGTTGTTTAATTGAGGGACTAGAGAAAAGAAGAATAACATACTGTACTCACTGCTTAACTGTGTTTCTAGATCACGCTCATTTCAGGTAAATTTACATGCAGTGTGAAGATACCAGCATAATAAAGATCGCTAGCATTAGCATGCTAACACAACAATGCAGCGCCAGTTGTTTTGGTTTCATGCTGGAGCTCAAGGGCGACACCTGCTGGATCAAAAAATCACATATAAAGACTTTAAAGTTTGGTTGCAGAATCAAAACCGGTATTGATATTGTTGGATTTAAAACATTTTACAAGTATATCAAAGTTTAAATTTGTTATTGTGACAATCTTAATTTGGATTCTAACCTGCGACCGCTGCGACCAGGACTCTAGCCGCTGCACATGGGGGCGGGCGACTCAACGGCTTGGCTATCCGGCGCCGCCCTTCAAAAGTCACATCAGTGTCTCAATCAGCCGACAGAGCGGAGGAGGTGACACCGGCTGAGTTGCACAAATACGTTTGCAACATTTCAGAACTCAAACATTACCAACGACTTTGTGCAGTTTACCTCGTCACCTTTAATATTCACCTGAGGCAGATTGAGATCAGCACTCGTCTCTCGTCCAATCAGATGACTGCGTCCATGTCTGACTTTAACCACACCCCCTCGTCTCCAGCAGGTTATGGATCCCAGCCTTCCCTGCTACATCCTCTCCTTCGTCCTGATTGGCTGTGTCCAGAGCTCGCTCGGTGACCCTCAGCAGCACAATGAGACCCGACACCACGAGTACTGCGTGCTGGGCGCCGGGCCTGCGGGACTCCAGATGGGGTTTTTCCTCAACAAGGCCAAAAGAGACTACATCATCCTGGAGAGGAACTCGGGACCCGGCAGCTTCTTTAACAAGTAGGACGCTTTTTTCACAACGTCTCGTATAGAACGAGAATTATAGATCATCAAGATCCACGCTCTCTATGGCGTGCTCGTCTACCCTAGAATCTGGTTTAGCAAGACCCATTTATGACACGGGTATTAGTGTGGCAACGAGAACCCGGAAGGAAATCATACTTTTTTTAACCTCCCGAATTCTCCTTTTCCACCAAGCCAGTTCCAGGACCGGCTCGGATCCAGTTCTTTGTGTTTTGAAGCCAAAGAACTGGATCTGGTTCCAGAGAGACCAGTTCCATTGTAGAACCAAGTCCATTGCTGGTCTACAAGAAAGAACCGCTCGCGTCAGGGTCTGGGGGGCGGGGTTTTTATGACTCAGTTGCCGACCTCACCAGCTGAAAAGCAAACTGCTTCTTAGACGATTAGCAAATTGAACCAGCTCTGAACCAGAACCAGAACCAGCCCCTGGTTCTCTTTGGTATCAGATCTGTTTTAAAGGATTCTGAGAGTTTCATGTAACTCGTTAAGCGTGTGTCCTCTTTTATCTGCGTTCAGGTACCCCCGCCACAGGAAGCTGATCAGCATCAATAAGATCCACACGGGGCGGCAGAACCGGGAGTTCAACCTGCGTCACGACTGGAACTCGCTGCTGAGCGACAAACCGGACCTCCTGTTCAAAAGAGTCAGCGGCGAGTTCTATCCTCCGGCAGATTCCTTCCCGGCGTACCTGTCCGTGTTCTCAAAGGAGCTCGGGCTGAAGGTTCGCTACGGGGTGGACGTCGGCAGAATCCGGGCGGTGCTGTTGGCGAGCGGCCGGAGATACATCCTGACCGACCAGCACGCGGCGGACTACACGTGCAGGTAACACGAGATAAAAACCTCATTCAGGATTGTGGCTAACATGGCGGCGTCGTAATTCTCGCCTCTCTCTTCTCCGTCAGCGTCCTCCTGGTGGCGACCGGTTTGTGGGTTCCTCAGGAGGTCGAGTTCGTCGGTTCCGATCTGGTTGAAGGCTACGAGTCCATCTCGACCGACCCGGAGGACTACAGGAACCAGGCCGTGCTGATCCTGGGCAAGGGGAACGCCGCTTTTGAAACGGCGCAAAGCATCCTGGGAAGCGCGAGCCGGGTGCACATGCTCAGTTCGAGCCCCGTTCGGCTCGCCTGGCAAACGCATTACGTCGGAGACCTGAGGTAGCGTCAGAGAATTCAGGATTTCTTCTCCTTTGAGTGATTCAACATTTTGGATTTTGTCAGCTGGATGTTAAAACTTTAAGCTCTGGGGCGCTGGTGGCTCAGTGGTTTGTGTGCGCCCCATGTATGGAGGCTGTAGTCCTCCAAGCGGGCGGCCCAGGTTCAAATCCAACCGGTGGCTCCTTTATCCACTGTCCTGTCTCTCCATTAAAGGCACAATTTCCCTTTCAATTACATTTCACTGCACATCTGTATGAGCATGTGACCAATAAAAAAAAATCTTGAATCTCTTGAAAAATCTTGAAAAAAGCCCAAAAATAAATCTTAAAAAAAACAAACTTTAAGCTCAAGCTGTCAGCAATAACGCACTTATGGCGATGCAAAGAAGGTCCAATTTCACGTCCTGGTCACTATTCTATGGAGCTATCATTGTGGCAAAACTATTTGAATATACGTACAAATATCTTCAAATGTGTGTCTGACGATCTGCAAACACGTAAGTGGGGTTTGTTGCCCTGAGCTCAGGCTCACAGGCTCACTTTGCCCGCACTGTACAGGAAAAACATTTCAAAAACACAAACTACATAATAGACCCTCCATCGTAGCCTCCTCAGTAAAACTGCACCCACAACATCCAGCTCAGTAATATCCATCTTGAACTCACTGGGTGCTACCACGGACTGGCAGCCTAGCCTGGCAGCCAGAGCTCAGGGCAACAAACCCCACTAAAGTATTTGCAGATCGTCAGACACAAATTTTAAGATATTTGTGCGGCTTTGTGGATCTTGCACGGCAGGAGTGTTGCAAAAGTCACATGACAGCCAATGGAGAGGCCCGCCTCAGCTGTAAGCGATCATTTGTTTTTATTTTCAGGATTTACAGCTGAAAAGGTTCACTGTCATTAATAAATAAGTAAATATTTTGAAATTGGTAAACATATTTGCAGATTAGTTTACACATTTGTGGATCTGTGTACGCATATTCAAATAGTTTTGCCACAATAATAGCTCCATACTATTCTATCGTTGGAGTTATTTGTGCTTTTATTTTGAAATGTTTTGTCTCTGTCCTCAGAGCGGTGAACAACGAGCTGCTGGACACGTACCAGCTGAAGTCTCTGGACGGGCTGCTCGAGGCTCGTCTGGAGAAAGTCGTCATCGCTCAGAGGAAGGAGCAGAGCAGCAGGCGGCGGCGGTCAGGCGTCGAGAAGAGAGAGAAGAAGGGAAAGCTGTTTTTGACTTTAAATAAATATTTACAAAACCGGGGCGAGAAGAACGACTCGGGCGTGGCGGGAGAAGAGCTGCCGGGGTTTCACTACGACAACTTCTCCATGAGGAAGCCGTACGACCGCGTGATTCGATGCCTCGGGTTCAGATTCAACTTCAGCGTGTTTGACGGGTAAGAACGGACAGTTTATAACATTCAACAAATCACTCGTACCCTTAACCTTTAAATATTTTTCCACAGCTCCGCCTGCCCTCCAAACAGTGAGAACGCCAAGGGGAGGTTGCCCGGGGTTACCGCCTGGTACGAAGGTAAAAACACTCCCGGGTTGTTTGTGCTGGGGACCGCCGCTCACTCCAGAGACTACCGAGCGTCCGCTGGAGGCTTCGTCCACGGGTTTCGCTACACGGGTTCGTCTGCTCGTTTTATCTGTCACACTGAATGAAGAAAACAGAATCTGTAATATTTGAGGATATTCTGAATTTAAAAACGGCGGTGCAAAGAGCGTCACATCATTAAACCGAGTCTTCATGAATAAACGACAAAGATCTCTCTTGTTTCTCCGCCGCAGTGCGAGCTGTTCATCGTGTTCTCGAGCGGCGGCGTCACGGTGCAAAGTGGCCTTCAACCAGACTGTCGACCTCGCAGCTGCAGTCGTGGATCCTGAAGCGCGTCGGCGAGGCTTCAGGGACGTATCAGATGTTCGAGGTGCTGGGAGACGTCATACTTCTTCGAGGGTAAGAAGATGTTTTTTTTATATATATTTCAGGGAGACGACTCGGGTTTGTAACTGCAGTTCCCATTTTAACCACTAGGTGAGAAAACTAAATCTGCAACTCAATCAGACATTTCCTGTTTGTATTTTTTCACATCCTCACACACACTTCTGTCACCCCCCCCCCCCCCCCCCGAGTAGAAAGTCATACTCATGATGTGTGGTCCTCGCGTCCTCTCCGCAGCTCTCACTGTGAATACCTGGAGGAGTTTCCTCTTCAGGCGCTGCCTCGGCTCTCGTCTCTGTCGGGTCACGGCGTGTCCGATCACGGGCTGATCGTTCTCCTCATGCAGTACGGGAAGACCAAGATCGACTTTCTGGGGCGGAGTCGAGCAGAAACAGACTGGACCAAAGCTTGGAAATCCAACTTTCTGCACCCTGTGTTATACTACTACGACACGCCCCCTACAGGTGAGTAGAAGCACTGCTGGATTACATTAAACTGTTGTTGTTTTTTAACATGTTTATTGAGTTTTAAACATTTTTCCAAGACACACAATTACAATTAAATAAATTCTAAGGAAAACAAACAAAAAAAGGATGTACACATGCACATATATACATTTATAAATAAGGGGGGGAAAGTAAAATATAATAATACAAAATGTGTGAAAGATCTTTATCCCGAAGAAAATTAATATATAAGCCCCAGATGTCATCAAATAATTCTCGTTTGTCTTTAAGTGTTTATGTTATTTTTTCCACATTCAATTGTAAAGGTAGAAAGCTGCATAATGAAACACAGTTTAGCATCTAACCTGAGGTGCAAACAAGCTTTAATGTGGTGCGTAACAAGCAGAGTATGAGTAGTCGGTTGTCTCTAAACTGAGAGGTACGGGGTTCGATCCCCAGCTCCTGTAATCACATGTTGAAGTGTCCTTGAGCAAGACACTGAACCCCAAATTGCTCCCATTGCCATGAATCTGCTCGAGTATCTCAGCTGGATTTTGTTTCCCTCAGATGAAGATATGAAGCTCCGTCCTCACGGCTGGCCTTTACCCAGACCTAAAGCGATCCACCACATGGTGGAGGACTTCCTCACCGAGTGGGACGGTCCCGTTTCTCACATTCAGCCGCTGAGGCGCTTCCTGGAGCACGCGGTCCAAACCGACCTCAGGAGTTTCTATGCAGGTGAGGATTCAGGGTTTGTTTTTTAAGCCAGTTCAAGGAGGGATTTTAACATCCCTGTGAAGCCTCATCAGCAGTTTAAATGTCACAGAGGGGTTGAAGAGGTGAAGTCGTTCGAGGTCGCTGTTCAGGTGTCAGAGGTAGCAAGAGAGATGTAGCAGGGGCGAGACAGCGTGTGTGTGAGTGCACCCTAAGTCTTAGCATCTGAAGTTATTTAAAGCTTCAAACTGCATCATTAAAATAACTGATTTTATCGTAATAGAGATGTTAGCTTCTCTCACTCTTGTCTCTCTTCTGTCTTTCAGAATCATGTTTCCGTTTCTCCCTCACACACCGAAAGCCGCCGCTCTTCTGTCAGCACGGATACCTGAAGCAGCAGGGCGTCGCTCACGACCGTCAGCCGTGGCAGAACGTCGACGTGGCGGGTTTGACGCCCGCTGAGACGGATTCAGACGCATCAGGAGCCGACCCCGCTCTCCCTAACTACCTGTCTGGAGCCGGAGCCTCTGTGTCGTCGGGACTGAAGCTTGACCTCTGATTGTTTTTATTGAAGCGTGTTTAATCTGTGGTCATGATGCTGGTTGTGTCCCTCAGACTTTCTACCTCCTTATTCTTATCCTCAATATTTCCCTCCACACGACCAAATACGTCCAACTGACTAAAACGAATCAAACACGTCTGTTTCAACCAAAGAGTGTTTTCTTTCTGTGTTATAAAAAGTGTCCTAACAGGTCAAACGAGAGAAATGGAGAGTATGAGTATGAGAAAGTGTCACAGTTAATTTCTTCTTCTCAGAAAAGTCCTCTGTTTATCACTGGAGAAGCACTTTGTCCCTTCAGAGCTCCCTTATTTTTATTCCTCACTAAATATTTATACACATTATATTATAACATTTTCATATCATGTACGTGTAAAATATCTGAAGCTGTATCTGTGGAGGGTTTTAAAATTATGTTTCATGATGGTTTCTGAATAAACCGAGTGAAATCAGCTGTGTCTCTGTGGTCGAGTAATTATGTAAAAACAGACTTTTTTAGAATGGGTGTGTATGTGACTTCCTGTGCGTCTGTAGCCAGCCTCTAGTGGACACTCGAGGAACTGCAGGATTTTGCAGCTCAGCTTCATTTTTCAACACTGGAGGCTGCCACTGTAAAACATTGCGGACAAATTTTTCCACTGCCTCATTTTGAGCTGCAGGTTAAACATTTAAATAAAGAAGGATGATATTTTTATTGTTGGAAAACAAACAATTTACAGGTAAAGAAAAAGAGAAATATCCCTGCTTTGTCCACAGGAGGCGCCATAATCGAAAAACAGTTGCTTTAAAATAGAGAATCACTAGAGCTCTAAATTGTATTATTAATTTACTTTAAAATCACTTTATTGTGTTTTAAATGTTTTAAATTTTAAATAAATGAATTTTTTCTTGAAAAAGAACGTAAATTTAATCGTTTTATGGTCTTTAAGGTTTTTTCATGATTTGTAATGTTCTGACATTTTTTAATAAAGATAATTGAAGAAAAAAAAGAAGGAGAGGTGAAATGCAGCGTTGTGATTGGCTGTCTGATTGCGGCGCTCCTATTGGACGGGCGCTCAAGAACAACCCGGACTGTGATTGGTCGTCGCTGCTGTGGAGCTGCACTGAGAGGGTTTTTACTACTTGTGTCCGTTGAGATGGAAAATGTGAAATCGGGGACATTTTGGTGCTGAAGAAGAAGGCAGGGTTTGTTGAGCTGTTTCATGTTTTAAATTCTCCCGGGATTGAAGGACCACGATGGGGGTGTTTATGTGCTGACGTGCCGTGAGATGGCCCCGGATGTCGCTGGCGGAGCAGATGAGAAATATTAAAGAGGACTTGGTTTCCTTTTAGCTTCGGCTGCAGGTTGTAGTGTAAACAGCGTCCATATGTCACGGTGAAGCATGGACGGGTGGAGCCCAATCGTAGCAACCACCTCGGATACGGAACGATCCAGCTCCGAGGGGGAGTACATGGTGGAGCCATCACCCGGAGAGGAGACGCGGGAGGCGGCGGCGGACAGAGCAGGGCAGCGGGGTGACGCGGAGGGTGCGATGGAGGACGCGGGTTCGGCTGCGGTCGGGTTCGGGATCAGTGGGACCGGGGAGGGTAAGGTGGTGTTGGGTCGGTTCGGACAGAGAGACGATAAAGAGCTCAGGTACCTGCACCTGCTGTGGGAGCCCGGACGAGCCGAGCTGACCCCCGGGGGAGCGACGGGCAAGCCGGGGAAGATGACAGGTAGCCGGGCCAAGAGGCATCACAGGACGGTGCGGAACCTCGGTCCTCTCGGGCAAGATGTTTACGGTAAGGTTTGTTTTTCTTTAAAAATACATTTATGTGTCAGCAACAACTATAAAGCTTGTTAAAGACTGAGTACTGCAGTCCACATTCACCTCTGAAGCTTCAGTGTTTATCCAGCTCTGCATGGGTCTGTAAACCTTTCTGTGTTCTAACCTCTCTCCATTTTTCAAAAGCATCTCCAATATTGATCCTAGTTTGAGCACGTTTCTGCTCGTGGAGCTTATTAGAAACATGCAGAGGCTTTTTAGGTCGGGTACAATCACTTCTATCTGAACCACTTCTCTTGACCGCTTCCATCACTGCAACACCTGTTGACCTGATAACTGCTCTCATATCTGACAAACCGAGGGGTGTCCAAAACGGCCATGTGGGGGGGTGTCTTAAAAGCGCCTACCTTCTCTGGTCCAAACAAATCCAGAGCATTCAGGAGCAGAATCTAAAGTTAGAAGGAGGACATACTGGCTGCTGCATTGTTGTCAGAGAAGCCAGCACTTCAACATAGCATGTTTCCTTAATGATCAGATAGTAAGATACCTTTATCATCTCACTCTCTACACAGCTCACTGATTGGACCTTTAAGAACATTAGATGAAAGAAGTGTCCTTTGAGGAGGTGTCAGACTTTGTTTCTTTAAAGTTACTTTTTGAAATCGGTATGTTTATATTGGTGTAGATACCTAGATATATAGAGTTAGTCATATTGGGAACAAGAATTGCTGTCTAGTATCATGTGTTGAAATCAAATCCATCTCTTCCAATCAGAGCCCAGTGTTACACAGATGAAAGGTTTACGTAACGTTGCACTGTTCCTGTTCCAACAATCAAGCGCCCTTTTGAAAGAGGCTTCCTGTGAATGCTTTCTTTGTTTGTCGCTCTAATGCTCCAGTGCAAACTGAACCCATCCATCCAGTCGTACAGCAACATTTAAATTGAAATGTCTTATTTCTGCAGCGGTGAAAAGACTGAGGGAGGCGGCGAACAGCAACGACATCGACACAGGTGAGACGATCAGTGAATGTTATCAGAATCAGAAAAACTTTATTAATCCCAGAGGGAAATTCGATCATTACAGTTGCTCCAAAATAAACAATATAACAGTAGAAATATAGAAATAAAAATATTAATGAAATAGAATAGGAAAGTAAGTAAGATATCAATAATAGGTACAATAAGAGAGGTGTGTGTGTGTGTGTGTGCGTGTGTGCGTGTGTGTGTGTGTGTGTAGTTCGAAAGCTCCTGCAGGATGACATCAACCCCTGTGCTGCAGACGACAAGGGAAGGACGGCGCTGCATTTCTCTTCCTGCAACGGCAACGAGGGCATCGGTAGGTCACTGATAAGAAAGTGAACACAGAAAAACAGCCACATGAGGTTTGTTATCCACAGCAGACTTTGTGTACAACGCTGCATGCTTTACACACTTCTATCTATTGTACACAACATTTAAGAACATTTAAGAACACATTTATTATTTCAGGATTGTTCCCTGACTTGTGTAGATTTCAGTTTTCATTTAAGACCTGCTGATTTTTGTGCACACCTCATTTATTTTCCTGCAAAACAGCAAAGCATTTCCCTGAGCAGCGTCATACAGAATAAGAAAAAAAACACTTAGAAATAATAAAACATTTGATTCAGTTACATTTTTGAGTTATACACTGTTGATCTTTGGTGTTGAAAGTCTTCATTTTAAGTCTCCTGTCGTGTTTTCTTTTTTTTTTATGTCTGCAGTGCAATTGTTACTGAGTCACGGCGCTGACCCCAACCAGCGAGACAGTCTGGGAAATACCCCCCTCCATCTGGGTAAGAAAGACCGACCCCCCCTGAGTATGTGACACCTGCAGCTCTGTGGTCACTAACCTCACACTAACATGTAGCTGCTCTACTTCAAACCTTTTTTTAAACGTGCAGATGAACTGCAGAGAGGTAGAAAAGCGTTTCTCATTCACAGGAAGAAATAAAACTCTGCTCTGTTTTTTCTGACTCAACGAGGGGCTATTTGTCCAAAAACAAAATCTAAATTAACTAATATCAAAAATATTGACCACTGATGCACCGTGGGAATGTGATGTACGCAGGCAAAAGAAATCCAATGTCTCTTGCTCTGGTAAAAAACAATAGGCCCACCCAGGTGCATGCTGGTCCTCTACCTGCCTCTTACTTAAATAACCTCTGGTGCCCACAGTGTTACCCAAATACCTAACAAAAACACTAATGCAAAACTAAAGTTACTAAACAAATAACTAGCAAAAGAAAATACTACCCAAAAATCTATTCTAAATAAAGAAAACGTGTAGAATAATTAAATAAACAACACCACCCAAATATTAGTAAACTAAACACCAAAACTAATTCTAACAATAATTAAATAGCTCCAATAAACGAGATACCAGAACCTCCAAAAACCCAACAGAAGAATGTAAATATTTCTGAGGATGGAGGACGCAACAGTCCTCCACGTCTGTCATAAGGTTCTCAGTTACTCCTCAGATTAGGAGCAAACATATTTGTCCATAGCAGGACAGAAGGTGACACAGATGGTATCGTTAGCTTGTCGACTTTGCACAGGTGACTTGGATCTTTGCAGTTCAGAAAACTTCACTTTGAATGCAACACGTGTTTAAATTTGTGTTATTGTCGTATTTAATCCATCATTTTTGTCACCTGTTTCTGCAGCGGCCTGCACCAACCACGTGCCTGTAATCACCACGCTGCTGAGAGGAGGTGAGACGCTGAGAGGGTCTTAGTGTGTCAGATTAGTTTCACATCATAGTAATGCTCTTGGTAAGTTAGCTGACTGTATTACTGATTATTCAGCGTTTATGAATGAGAGATTTTTGTGCTCTCGTTCAGGAGCTCGTGTGGACGCCCTGGACCGAGCAGGAAGGACCCCGATGCATCTCGCTCGCTCTAAGCTCAACATCCTGCAGGAGGGAGACTCGCGCAGCTTAGAGACGCTGAGAGGAGAAGTCACACAGGTAGAGCAAGCGCCGACTCACCTGACTTTGAGATGTTTCATGTTGATCAGGATCGCTTCAACATCCGAGTCCTTTTTTGTCTTTCTCGTGCAGATTATTCAAATGCTGAGGGAATATCTGAACTCGATGGGGCAGAGCGAAGCTAAAGAGCGACTGGAGCACATTTCCACACAGCTGCTGCACACACGCACCAAAGAGCAGGTGACACCTTCACACTCATTTTTTTTAAACTCTTATTTGATTCTAGTGAAAATCAAACGATATCAATACTTGTTTCGATACCCCAGCAGCAAAAATCAAAGGGCGCTCAGTATTGGGTCATTTATTGTTTACTGTTATCCAAAATGGCAGGCGAACTCCTGAACACTAAATCACACAACGACTTTGGCAACGTCAGTGTGAACCCAGAGCTGAGAACAACAAACCCAAAGGGAGTCTGACTTCACTCTCTTTTATTAGGAAGTCACTCAACGATTCATTTAAAGAATTCATTACATTTTTAGGGGCTTTTTATGCCTTTTATTTATAGATAAGAGTGAATAGAGTCAGAACTCAGGGAGAGAGTGGGGAATGAGGTGCAGGAAAGGAGCCACATGTTGGATCCAAACCGACCGCCTTGGAGGACTTTAGCCTCCGTACATGGGGCGGGTGCATTAACCACTAAGCCACCAGCCCCCTCAGTGATTAAGTTCAGATATGTTTAAAATATGTTTAAAATATCACATATAGAACACTAAATATAGATGCAGGCAAATCAAGATTTAGCATTCCTTATTTGGATTTTCTTTGATAAATGTACTTTGCATTTGTAACTTGAATATTTTGCTTTTTTCCCCCCAGGTGGATGAGGTGACCGATTTGTTGGCGAGTTTCACGTCGCTCAGTCTACAGAAACAGAATCTGGGTGACAGGTAGAAGTTAACGTGTTTAGAGAGCTGAAGAGCAGAAACTGCAGCGCTAGCCTCGACCCAGATCAGCAATATGACAATAATATGAAGGTGAATATCGATCTGCAGTAGCATGAGACGGTCACATTTCAAAACCTCGTCGTGTGTGTGTGTGTGTGTGTGTGTGTGTGTGTGTGTGTGTGTGTGTGTGTGTGTGTGTGTGTGTGTGTGTGTGTGTGTGTGTGTGTGTGTGTGTGTGTGTGTGTGTGTGTGTGTGTGTGTGTGTGTGTGTGTGTGTGTGTGTGTGTGTGTGTGTGTGTGTGTGTGTGTGTGTGTGTGTGTGTGTGTGTGTGTGTGTGTGTGTGTGTGTGTGTGTGTGTGTGTGTGTGACGTTTCGCCTGCCAACATTAGCTTATTTTGCAGATGATTTTGAGGCGTATTTCTCATGAAAGTTTTCACAGTGCTCTTTATGCTTTTCTTATGGACAGCGTCTCTGCATCATGTTGCCTTTTCTCTTTGGATTGCATGTTTGGTTTTCTATGTGAAATGTGCTGTAAGACTTAATTTTGCTGTTGATGGAAATTAATACATGTGAATCAATAAAATCAACATGTTTGGCAAAAAAAGGAAAAACAATGTCTTGAGTATTTGATGTAAAAAAATAACTATTGTTATGCTGTTATTAAATGAATTGAAATATCAACATCAGTTTTCCCTGTCACATCGTAGACGACACTCGGGCGGGCTGCACAAGTATATTTCCCGACCTCTCTTTTATCCGTAGCCTTTATCACCAGAGACTGATCAACATTACTTAGACTTAGACTTTCTTTATTGTCATTCAAATTTGTTTTTTACAGTGCAGATAAGAACGAAATTTTGTTGCTGTTACAGAATCAATATGAATGTCCTAAGATGTGATGGCAGCTGAGCTATGTTACGTCACTTATGCTAAACAGCAGCCTGACAGCTGCGATTGTGTGTGTGTGTGTGAGAGAGAGAGAATTGAAGGGAAGTAAGAGCAGATTAAAGTTGTTTCTTACACAAACTAATAAACCTAATAATAAAATAAAACCTCCCTTCCCCTCCCCTTCAAACTCTGAACATTAAAGCTCCCCTATCTCTCTGTCAGACACCCCGTCACCTCACATTCAGGTATTAAAAATAAATGTATAGAAATTAATAATGTTGTCTCTGATAGTCTCGTTCTCTACTGAAGCTCATAAAGAGACAATATTTCTATTATCAGTCTGTTTTATAACCAGTGAAAAACACAGGAGCTTTAAATTCACATGTCGACAGTAGAATAGTTTTCAGCGGAGCTTCAGTAAATGTATTGCTAATATGGCTACTACTCCTCGCTGCTGATTGGCTGCGTCACCTAAGCCCCTCCCCTCCACAGACACGTATTGTTGTTTCACCGATAATAAAAGATGGCGGCCGGACCCGCGTAAATTGGACACCTAGTAGAGGTACTATTATTTTAAAAACACATAATTTTCTCCTCTTCTGTTGTTCGTAAACTACACATGCTGCTCTAACAGACGATGAGAGCACACGAGCAGCTTTTTAATCCACGTGTTTCATCTTTGTGCTGCTGTGTCGACCGCGGCCTAGCTGTTGGTTAAAGCCTCGAACTTTCCTGAGCGGCTCACACCGACATGCCCGCTCGGCGATACGGCCATGAGACTGAAAGCTAGTGGAGTCGAAGTAAATAGAGAGGGGGGTGTGTTTGAATATCTTTATGAAAGTAGGCGGGAATGTGTTAAGATATTTAGTGCTGTACTGTTTCCTAAGAGGAAGACGAATTATTATTTTAAACAAAATAACACAAATTAGCTTTTTCCTCAAGTTGGAGGCGGTTATCTAGTCAGGTTACCCCCAACCCGGACCACAGGGGGTCGGGTTACCCCCAACCCGGGCCACAGGGGGTCGGGTTACCCCCAACCCGGACCACAGGGGGTCGGGTTACCCCCAACCCGGACCACAGGGGGTCGGGTTACCCCCAACCCGGGCCACAGGGGGTCAGGTTGCCCCCAACCCGGACCACAGGGGGTCGGGTTACCCCCAACCCGGACTACAGGGGGTCAGGTTGCCCCCAACCCGGGCCACAGGGGGTCAGGTTACCCCCAACCCGGGCTACAGGGGGTCAGGTTGCCCCCAACCCGGACCACAGGGGGTCGGGTTACCCCCAACCCGGACTACAGGGGGTCAGGTTGCCCCCAACCCGGGCCACAGGGGGTCAGGTTACCCCCAACCCGGGCACAGGGGGTCAGGTTGCCCCCAACCCGGGCTACAGGGGGTCAGGTTGCCCCCAACCCGGACCACAGGGGGTCGGGTTACCCCCAACCCGGACTACAGGGGGTCAGGTTGCCCCCAACCCGGGCCACAGGGGGTCAGGTTACCCCCAACCCGGGCTACAGGGGGTCAGGTTACCCCCAACCCGGGCTACAGGGGGTCAGGTTGCCCCCAACCCGGGCTACAGGGGGTCGGGTTACCCCCAACCCGGGCTACAGGGGGTCAGGTTGCCCCCAACCCGGACTACAGGGGGTCAGGTTCAGCTAAAGGATGTTTATTAAAGTGTTATTTATTATTTATGATCTCTGAGTAACTTTACAAGAACATAAAATGACAATACAAAAGGCTAAAGTTATATTCTGCACCTTGTTATTCGGAGGTCAACAATATGAAGTGAATTCAATGTATTAAAAATGTTTTTACTTGAACAAGTTTTAATTGAATTTAAGCAAAACAAAGTTTATGTTTTTTTTTTTTTAAATGCTAATCTAACATCTACAGAGCCCTTAAAGTCCCAAAAAGTTTTAAAAAGTGATATAAATTGTGTGCACATGATAATAACTGATGCAACCCATATAATTATTATATATCATATTTTCTATCTGCTGTTCTTCAGGTTTTCATACCAAACTTGTATTTACAACATTTATCTCCTGAAGCCAAAAAAATGAAAAAATAAACTAAATCCGTTAATCTGAGGGTATCTGATAGTGAGCATGTCTGGACCTCCATCAATCAACAATGTGCACACAGCACACTGAACGAGATATATATTATCCTTAAATATAATCATTTTCTGGTCATGCAATATATTCAGACTTTTGCGATCAGTTCATTGTGGTCAAATCATTGTCAGCTCAGATCGCGATAACGATGCCATAGCGATTTATTGAAGAAAGATTTATTACATACTGAACACCTTACTGAGCTTTTCTCTTAATGTTTACTCAACAGGTCATTAAGTTAGCGGTGACAAACTGGGACAAGCAAACGTGTCGACAGAGGAGGGACCATGGCGTTCGAGGAGATCAAGGGTAAAGGAGGATTTGGTAAAACTTGCCTGCACAATGCATGCAATGTTTCTGTGTTTCTACTTTAAATTATTATCAAATATTTGCACTTTTCTTCATTCAGAAACGTATCAATTAGTACTGAAAACGTTGAGTGTAGCCACTTCTCCCAAGGAGCTGACAGATCATATATTTCAAGAATGTTGATATGATTAGACCCCTCAGATAATTTGTTAGAATATTCCCATTAATACCAAGTTTGTGCCATGATTATAATACTCTATAAATGTTTGGCAGACATGGGGATGGACGGAGACCGAGGCCTCGTTGCCGGCCGTAGCCAGAGAGAGAAGAGGAGGTCGTACAAAGATCTGCTCAGAGAGGAAGAGGAGATTGCTGCTCAGGTTCGGAAGTCTTCCAAGAAACGTCCCAAGGTAAGTTATGCGTCCAAATCACTTCATTTGAGAAAAGAAAAAACCTTTGACATGTTGTACTGCTCATTATGTTTTTTATTAAACTTTGAAAATGTCCTGACCTGCAAGGATTCAGAACTTTTCATGCTCGGAGGAGACTCGCATAAAAAGAAGAAGAAACACAGTGACGACCACTATTACAGAGGTAAGATGTTCATGTGTTGTAATGAACTTTCTCTCTTTTTACTGTGCAAATGCAAAGATAGTAAAAATGCTAAATTGAAGCTTGATCCAAAGGATACTGGACTTAGTAGAAGATCTTGAAGATGTTTCACTTCTCCTATGAAGGGCTAAACTAACTTGAAATTTAAGCCAATTTTAGCATGCTAATGATCCACACAGGCTTCCATTTCTTGCTCCGTTCACCGGTTAGTTTAGAACTGAAGAAGCCTTTCAGAGGCCTTGAGTCTTTAAATATTTTTTTTCCTCTTTGTTTCTGTCAGAACACGATCATTCAGGTCCACCTCCTCATAAGAAGAAGCACAAGTCTGCAGATCGCTCTCCTACGCTCTCCTCCACTTCGTCCTCCCACCCGACAGATACAGCCATGGGCCTCCTGCAGGCGATCACCTCCCCTCTGGCCACAGGCTCAGACCCCAGCCCCCACCTGCACAAGAAACCCTCCTACCCCTCCTTCTCCTCGCACTCCTCTAAGGACCGCAAACGCGAGGGCAGCAGCGGCGGCGGGAGCAAAGGGAGCCACTCCTCTCACTCCCGCCCCGCTTCCTCGTCGTCATCTTCCTCTAAGAAGCACTCCTCCTCGTCCTCAAAGTCGTCTCTGTTCCACGGCGGAGCCCCGAAAGAGGAACCGTTGACGTTGCGAGAGGCCGACGGGCTGAAGATGAAGCTCATCATGTCGCCGGAGAAAGAGGAAGGAGAGAGCTTCCCGTTCACGCCTCACTCGTCCAAAGGAGGCACGAAGAAAGAGAGGGATCGAGACAGGATGCAGGTCTCAAAGACGCCCAAGAAGAAACAGCAGCAGAGTCGAGATCCGCTGCCCGTAGTGGGCAAAGAGGTGGAGGTGGAAGGTAAGACTTTTACTGATCGACAGCCAGCTCTCATGATGAACTCAGAAAATATTTCTGTTTACACATTGAATGGGATGGAGGGCTAAGGTGGCTTCACATTACAGACCCTGTGTTTTCTGTTGGGCAGGTCATTATGGAGGAGGCATGGGAGACGACAGCTCCTCATCAGGGGGGGAGCTGGAGGCCGGTGAGCTGGTTATCGATGATTCATACACACACCTGTCGAAGAAGAAGAAGAAGAGCAAAAAGAGCAAGAAGAAAAAAGACAAAGAAAAAGACAGAGATAAGGAGAAGAGTGGGAAGGACAAGAAGCACAGCAAAGGCTTTGGAGGTTCAGTTTACTCTTTCCTTTGGTTTTCTTTATCAAGAATTCTTTTTTGGGCTTTTTGCGCCTCATCTTAGAGATAGGACGGAGGAGCCCAAATTTAAAACATCTACCTGAAATGTAAGAACAGGAGCTCATTATCCGTTTTGTCTTTGTTTGACTTTCTTCAGACTCCTCGAGGAGCCACAGCCACTCCCACCCCACTGTCACCCACAGCTCTGTGGGGCCGATGTACGCCATGGGCACGCCCGTCCCTCAACACCACCATCCGGGCAGCGACGGAGTGCCAGAGAAGAAGAAGAAGAAGAAGGAGGAGAAAGATCGGGAAAAGCACGAGAAGGAAAAAGACAAGGTAGGATACTAAATCTGACTTCACTGAATCACGCCTCGTACTGTACGCTGTTTGCATGTTCCTGCACGGCTCTCCTGTCACACTTATTTTAAATATTGAATCCGTCTATAATACATTGTTACTGTTAATCTGATCTAATATGTGTTTCTGCTGCTGCTGTGCTCGTGCTCATGTTTCTTATTCTCTCTCGTTGCTCAAAGTTACTTTACACCTAATACTTGTTTTCTGGTTGTGTGTTCGCTTTTCTTGCATTATTTGTTAATTTATTTTTCCTCTTTCAGCCCAAGAAGAAGAACACAACGGCCTATCAGGTGTTCTGTAAAGAGTATAGGGTCAACATTAACGCAGAGCAGCCAGGACTAGGTGGGTAATATAATCTTAACTCTTAAAGACACTGGTCGGGGTTAGGGTTAGTAGTAAGTATCTGTGTGCGTCTGATTCACAGTGTTTGGTGAGCTGAGCAAGAAGTTGGCCGAGGTGTGGAAGGCGATGCCAGAAAAAGACAAACTAGTGAGTTTTTCACCGTGTCTGTAAATGATTCTGCAACGTCATGACGGTGTTTTTAAACACTGTGTCGTCGGTTTGTTCTTTTTTTCTGCAGGTGTGGAGGCAGAAGGCTCAGTACCTGCAGCACAAACAGAACAAAGCGGAGGCCACCACGGTCAAACATAAGAGTGCCAGCGAGGGCAAGAGCAAAGGTAGGAGATATTTTCACTGCTGCGCAGACGAAGCAATAGACACAAAAAAGTAGAGTCTGAACTTTGTGTCGTGGAATCCAGAAGTTGTTCATAAATCGAAACGAGACGTAACCACGGTAACGCGATGATATGAGGGTTTCATTTGGCAGGTTTCCGTCCAGTCTGCCCTTGTTATAATTTTTCAGGGGGGTGTCAGATTCAGCACATTAATCGCGATATGAGTATATAAATTCCTCCTCCACCAGTTGCAGAATCAAAAGATGTGACGACGGCTGAGCTTAGTTCTAAAGGTCAAGCTGCAGATTGAAAATCTATGAGCAACGTCAGGATCGATTCTGTTCTGTCGCTGCATCGATGCAGATTCGTCCACGTCTAGTTAATAAGGGGAGTGAAGATTAGCTCTCAAGTCGTTATTCTCTGGCTCCTGACAGTTGTAGGAGCAGGAACGGGGATGGTCTCTCCCAACAGAGCGCCCAGCAACCTGTCCCTGTCTCCAGCTCGAGTCCCTGATGTAGATCCCATCGATGCAGCGGCTCACCTGCAGCTCCTGGGGGAGTCCCTGTCTCTGATTGGACACAGGCTGCAGGAAACAGAGGTATGTTAATCCCGTCATGCATGCTTGCACAACACGACCCGTATGAAGTTTAAAACGAGAATTGTTTTATTTCTGTGCAGAGGAATAAGTGAGCGATGTTTTGTTTGTGACAGGGAATGGTGGCCGTGTCCGGGAGTCTGTCTGTCCTCCTGGACTCGATCCTGTGTGCACTCGGACCGCTGACCTGTCTCACAGCACAGATACCAAAGCTGAACGGATGTCCTCGAAACGTCCTGGTACAGTATAAACATCAATTGATGTTGCATTAGTTACATTAATGTTTCCACAGTAAGGACTACGAGGCAAGACCAGGCCATAAAAGATGATCACAATGCAGGATCATCATCACATTTATATCAGTCAGTCTGCAGATTTTGCAGCAGCCAGTATGTCCTCCTTCTAACTTTAGATTCTGCTCCTGAATGCTCTGGATTTGTTTGGACCAGAGAAGGTAGACGCTTTTAAGACACACACACACACACACACCCCACACGGCCGTTTTGGACGCCCCTGGGTTTGTCAGATATGAGAGCAGTTATCAGGTCAACAGGTGTTGCAGCGATGGAAGCGGTCAAGAGAAGTGGTTCAGATAGAAGTGATTGTACCTGACCTAAAAAGCCTCTGCATGTTTCTAATAAGCTCCACGAGCAGAAACGTGCTCAAACTAGGATCAATATTGGAGATGCTTTTGAAAAATGGAGAGAGGTTAGAACACAGAAAGGTTTACAGACCCATGCAGAGCTGGATAAACACTGAAGCTTCAGAGTCCACCACATGGTGACCTGAGTGAGCATCCACTCTAGAGAGGAGGGGGGGGGACAGCTCTCTATGATGTTTAGAATTTAGACTGCAGTACCCATTTTAACCACTAGGGGTCAGAGTTACATATTGTGTTGTGCAGTGAACATGTACATCTTTAATTTGCATTTTTCCAACTTACCTCTCTGTGTTTTTCAGTCTAATACGTTGGATAATATCGCCTACATCATGCCTGGGCTGTGAGCGACGGACTAAATCAATGTGAACTGATGTGAACTCAGACGTCAGCGGGAGGAGTGACCCTTGGACTTTAACTTAAGCCACCGATGACGTCTGAACGCTGATATTTTTAGTGTCGACATGTTTTTAAAGTGTATTTTTTTAAAAACCTAGTTCTCTTAATTTTCTAATTGTGATATTTTTTTAAATGAAACATTTTATCGACCGTGTTAAACTCTGGGCACGTGAGCGTAGTTTTACCGTTACTGTACTGAGAGATTCTGTGTGATTCGGTTTGAATGTGAAGCGTTTGTTTCGCTGTAACGTCGGTTTGTTTGTGTGACTTTCACAATATTAGGTTTTTTATTTTTTTTATGTACAGAAACATTGAAGCTGTCGTCTTTGGTTCTCATCAACATAATATATATTTGACACCTGCTTAGTTTTTCTTGTACTCTGTAAAAAGTGATGTTTTTTACATTTGATATTTTAACGTGCAGCGTTTAGGTTCAGAGTTCACCATAAAGATTTAATCAGGAGCTGTAGAGACAAAAATCACCTCAATAAAATACCATCTGTTCCTAAATGCAGCTTTGTCTTTTTATTACTTCACTCAGGCGGAAACATTAGAGTCATCTTGAGAGCGTGCCACATACCTTCATATACAGTTATTTATTACAGTGCTTCGTCTACCAATGACCAACCCTGCCTTTAAAGTCCCAAAGGTAAAACATATACATTATCTTGTGTGCTCATATTATCATCCACCTTGTCTGCATTAGATAACTTATTACCACAAGATCATTTTAATGTGCACACAAGATAACTTCCCACGTCTACTGTAGTACAGAATTAAAAATAAACAAGTATACAAATTGAACAAATATCAATATTGAATAATAGAAAAACAAACAAAACAGGAGGAGTCTGCTAATTTGGAGATATTCTTTTATAAATTTCTGTTTTGTGATCTTTAGATTTTCAACAGTGGATAGATATTTTCAAACTAAAAGGAGGGTGCTTTGCTGAGCCATTTCATCGCATATAAGAAATATTTAGCCAAAATCAGAATTCATTTAAATAAGATCTAGTTGTTGGGAATATATGACTTTTCTGAAGATGAGTAATATGTGTATCTTTCTCAGTTAATAAAGCTTCAGCACCCGTTTGTGTTGTTTGTCATTTGATCAGAGCTGCTCGTCTCTCACGACACGTTATGCGCGGGAAAAGTGGAGCATGCGCAGAGCGTTTAGGCCAGTTCGGCCTTGGTTGAGTGCTATATGTAATAATAAATGTCCTCCAAACCGCGTTTTCTAACACAATAAATGGACTCATTCAAAGCACATGAAGACGTAGACCTACTGACTCTGCTCTCGTGTCGTGTTGCTCTCATAATTGTCAATAAAGGTTTGTTAATAAAAAAGTTATAAACACGAAGACCTCCGAGTTTTTTTCTTGGACACTTGTACTGTACAACGTTCTGTCACTTCCCAGCATGCTTTGTGGTACTCGATAAACTGAAGATATTGAGCTGTTTAATGCTTTAAAAAGCAGCTGTTGTGTTTCTTAGTATTTGTAATGTGTGATTTACAGTAGAATGGTTTGTTGGCTTGTGTTCATTACGAGACTGTTTTTCCCCCCATGAGTCAGAGGGCTGTTGCTGTTGGTTATATAATTTGTTGAACGCTCTCTCGTTTATTGTTTTTCATACATATCAGAATGCTTTCGAGTGTTCTATGATGAAAACTCAAACTGAGTCTCGATGGGGCGGAGCGGAGCGAGACAATGATGATCCACTTGTTAAAGTGAATAACTCTAATGACTCAAACAGTCTCTCTTCATAACCTCGGTTTTGACCGTTCTTTGACGTCATCAAAGCGCGGGTTCAAATCGAACGTGCCTGTCAATTCCATCCCATGGTTACTAAGCAACCAGATCGACAGAATTTATTGCAACTACACATTGGAATTATAAAATACAATTTTAAAATTAATCGATTTAGCCTGTATTGATTCTGAAGATATTATTTCTTTGGTAGCTGGAGAATTGTATTTAGCAGTGAGAACAGTGTTTTGTTGTTTCCTTCATTGGAGATGATTGAACCAGAGTAATAATAATAATAATAATAATAATAACTTTATTTATATAGCACCTTTTAAAAACCCAGGTTTACAAAGTGCTTTGACAAACAGCAAGAACAAAGCGACTTTTAACATATTACATTTTTTTTTAATGTACAGAAACACTGAAGCTGTCGTCTTTGGTTCTCATCAACATAATATATGTTTGACACCCGCCTCAGCTCCAGCTCTCAGTCTGTGGGTGACATCACTCAGGCCATCCGGGGGAGACCTCCCTCACAGCGAGCTGTTGAAGAGAAGAAACTGAAGTCCACCTCAGAAGAACCAACAAATACAGATGTTGTTGAGGCTCAGGTTTCTTCCTCTGTCTCTGCAGCTCTCTGGGCACCTCGATGGACCAGTCACCAATAATCCACACTGTGTCTATAGGAGAAATACAAAGGTGTTCAATTAATGTCTCAGACAACATGTACAGTTAACTACATGTGACAGCTCAGGCTGTTTTTTTGTTATGAGCCACATCTGCAGGAATAATATTGAACAAGGTAGCTGCAACTCATCATAATAGATACCAGTCTTAAACATTATTTTTTCTAATACTTAAAGTTTTTGGTGTGAAGCTGACACTGTCCACAGACTCCATGACTTCACAGGTTCAATAGAAAACAAATGTCTTATAATAAATACTAAATAATTATTTTTCAGTTGTCATGTTCACCTCATCGCTGTTGACATCAGTAAATATAAGACTCAGACATTCCTCTTTTTGTCAGAACAGTAACATGAACTGTATGCTTTGTAATATTGATTTCTTCTGGATGTCTCATATTTATTTACAGTTTATGGATAAAACTTTGTTAATGTATTTCTCTGCTAACACTGACAAAGTCTAACTGCTCTGACAAATAACTAATAACCATAGTTGTATATTTAACAAAGTGTAGTTTTAAGACTTTAATTACATATTTGGGTTGAATATAATTAGTTTTAACTGTGTTGTAGAAAAGTTAAATGTTAACTTACTGTTTGTAGAGTTT